TTTGAGAGCCACTGGGCTAGAGAGGTATGAGGGCGGTGGAGCAGCGGGACTACGTTCTCAGGAGTGATGGAGCACCATCCCATACATTTGGGATGAGTTGGAGTGGTATTTGTGATCCAGAACTGATCATCCACCATCAGTACCTGACCTCACTAATGCTCTTGTGGCTGAATTCAATCAAATCCTTAGAGCAATGTTCCAATATGTAGTGTTTTCTAAAGAGTAGAGTAGAAAATGGTTCTATATAGAACCTTGAACACTCAAAGAGCACCTTGTATGATTTAAGGGTTCTTTGCATCGTTAAATGGTTCTTCAGACTGATGGAGAATGTGTTATATACGGTTCTATATAGAATCTTTTTAAAAAGGGTTCTTCTGTTATAACAAGCTTGATATTGTAACAATAACCCCCGAAGAACCATCTTTTTAAAGAGTGTATACAGCACCAAAAAAGGTTCTTCTATTGTTACAGTGTCTAGCCTGTAACAAAGGAAAAACTCTTTATGGTGCTATATAGAACCGTTTTCAAAAAGGCTCTATTTAGAACCATCTACAGCACATTCTCCAACAGTCTGAAGAATCCTTTCACGATGCAAAGGGTTCTTTGAGTGTTCATGGTTCAATATAGAACACTTTTTTTTACTACAGAACCCTTGAAGAACCGTCTTTTTAAGCATGTAGTCTTCCACTACACAGCATCTCTAAATGGAGATTCTCCATTGAAAGGACAATATAGTTTAGGAGTAGGACTGTTCCCTGACCAGGAAATCAACTCTTAGCGTAAAATACACATGTTGAAGATTTAAAATGTGTTAAAATATGCTTTTTTTTTTTTTAAATAGAAAATGACCTGATGATTCTGGATCTAAACAAACCTAAAGATCTTATATGCCCATCCTGGACAATAAAAAACTTGTCTTCAAAAAAAATGAGTGACTTGCACACATTTTTAGTGACCTACAAGCATTGCACTAAGTACCCGCCGACTAAAAGTCAATGCCACTTTTCTCTTGGTGGATGTGATCTTCAAAATGAATACTGCTCTATCTGATATCCTTGGAAGAGGGGATTGCAAAAATGTATGTGACTCAGCTGTGCCAAATAAGATGGCATCTATCTGTACGCCCACAGATTATTAACGAGAATCCTCTGTGAGTGCATTACCACCAACGGTTTAGCACATTTTGTGGAGCAGTGACAGGAGAGAGCATTTACATTATCATTTGGAGGTTACATTTAACTCTTTGTTCTTTCAGATGAAAATGTCAACAAGGCACCTTTCTTTAATTGGTGACATTAGTACTGACCAGCCAAAAAGGCAATCGCCTGAAATATCGAAGGCGCCTTTGTCTGGTGAATCACCAAATGCATTATCAACCATATGAAGGAGCTCCGCAGAAAGCAGAGAAATGCAGAAAGACATAAAAGAGCTACTGCTGTGTCAGCCCCCAGGTTTACTGAGTGTAGCCTTATTCTTCTGAGATTAACTATACAGGTTGAAGTATTATGATGAAATTGTGTACACTGCGTTTTTATTAACTTTTTATTTACATAAAAGACGATTCCTTTTAGAAACATCAAGAGCCAAGAACAACTTTCTTACTCCAAAATAATACACTGAGGCTTTCTAATTCTAAATTACAAAGGCTGAGATTAGAAAAAAGGCAATTAAAGCTTCAAAGGCAAATTTATTTATAGAGCACCTTTCAAAATATGCAACTTCAGATTACTGACTAATTTTGCGTTTCAAGCCTTGTTAAAGAAGAGATGGAAACAGTCACACTTTACTGTCCTAAAACCTCAGGGTTTCGCATGAATCAGGATTTGCAGTTAATGATCATACTTCAGAGGAGCGCTCTCACAGCTACCTGAGCTACCCCATTACTTGATTTTAAAATGTGATTACTGTTTAGATGAATCTGCAGTAAGTAGCTGGCAGATGTCATGATGATCATGCATATTTTAAATTCTCTTAGCGGTCTCTCTTACAGCGAGAAAAACAACCTGAAGAACCTTTTATCGTGTCACACATTTCTAAAGGTTTCCTTGTTTATTCTTGCTTCCAGGTTCCAGGTGAAAAAAGGACGGATGATAGATGGAAAGGACAAATAATGGAGTGCACTCAGACATCCAGCTGAGATTATTTTTAGATGGATGGAGGTCACGATCATGCCACAGGTCAGTCCTTTCAGAATCTCAGTGTAGATAACAGGGAAGGATGAAGAAAGTTAAGGACTTAACCCAAAAATTAACTTATGTGGTTGTGTATGTTTTTTTTCCTTTCCTTCCTAACCTGTCAAGACAATATTGGGACCAATAACATGCTTGGGTTTAGACTTGGAAAAATTCTCATTACACATAAGTAGATGCACGGGACATACTGTTACATACAGTACAAGATACAAAACATCTATTAAGCATAACTTACTATTCTTCAGGTATTTCTGCTGAGACTAGATATAAAAAAAAGTGAGGGAAAAAAAACAAGTTGCCAAAAAATGAAGATAGATAGAAGTTATAGAGAAAATTGGGACTCCTAACAACCATCACCATCAGATAAACAGTGCTTAAAGCTTTGATCTTTGAGAGACAGAAAGTCAAGGAGAAAATTCTTGCTTCAGATCTGAAAAAATCCACAGCTGTTTCTGTCCATCCTTCCACTGTGAGAAGACAACTCAACACTAGGAGTCTGAAAGGATGTGTAGCTGACAAGAAGCTCTTACTGAGAAAAGGAAACAAACAAAAAAGAAGAACATTTGCAAATCAAAAGAAGCTGCTGGTGTGCTCTTAACAATGGACTGACCACCCCAGAGTCCAGACCTCAACATCACTGAATGTGTTCGGGATTACTTTGATTGTGAGAAACACAAAATGCAACCAACTAAGACTGAACTTAGAAGGTAAGAAAAAACACCCCTCTAAAGCAGTTCTCCCAGAACAGAAATGGGGAATGTAATAAAGGCAAAGTGTGGACAGACTTAATAATACAAGAGACAGAATTAAAGAACTGACACACCCAAGTGTGTGAGACAGAGAGACACAGAGAAAGATAAGGAGAAATGGCATAGGGGGAAAAAAGCAAAAGAACAGCAGAGGTTAATGGACACAATAAAACAATAACATACCTACAGTTTACACTTCTCGAAAGAGTGATATACAACACATTAGTGTGTTGAGGATCATGTAAATTTGCCTTTCCCCTCCACTCTCCTTCACTCCCTCATTCTTTGTCTTTCTTGTCGTGGTGATGCAGTCAGTTTCACTGCACCACTGTGACAAAAGACCGGTGACTCATCCACTTACATGCTCCATCTCTCTCTCTCTCTCCCTCTCTCCATCCCATTTTCTCCGACGCTAGCTCTCGCTCTGTGTGTGCACGTCCATCTCCGCTCCACACATGCAAACAACAAAAGCGTTTTCCTATAATGTACCCGTCATCATTCTCTATGAAGATGCAAATAATATTTTAACAGCCCAAACTGTTATAAGAAGTGTCAGTTAATTCAACAATGACAATAATAAAAAAAAAATGCAGAGGGAAAAAATGCTCCATACAGATCAAAATGTACAATGAAATTGGGTTTTTATTTCATTATAAAATTACATTCACACACAATCTGATTCGATTACCTGACAGCTATTTGACAGGTAGACATGCCCTCATGCTGAGTTACTTAATTGAGCCATTCAGCGTCAAATCACCTGAACAAACACGGATTCAAGACCATCTGGCAAAGATCGTAGCGCCTGCATATCAGAGGATATAAACAGATGTCAAAAGTTGCTGTTGGAATGTTATTTTGAAAATGTCACTGGATGCAAAGAAGAATGTAAATGTCTAACAGCCAATATCACTGTTTTATCTATCAGACCATTCCTGTGAATCTCTATCAAACTGGAGCAACTCTGGTTACATCAAATAAATAAATACATTATAATGGAAAATTTAAATGTATATTAACATTTGGAATTAAGTTTGGAATTAAGACTTTCGGTAATATGAAACCAATCTGGTATATAAACTTATTCTAATATGCTAGACTTGTACAACTTTACCTTTTAAATAATTATTACACTAGGAAGCTGTAAATAAAAAGGAATTGTCCAGAATGACGGCAGAAACCACAGAGGATTCTAAAATGACCGAGAAAGCGCTATTGCATCACGAGTTATTATAAAATGAATACCCAGAATTCAGCATATTTCATAAGTGTTAATTAAATCTCGAGACAGGTAACTTGTAAATGTAAATGAAGAGTTTTGTATGTCTATTTGTAACAATTTTGGATATAATGAGTTGTTGAAAAGACAACAGCTGATGTAGAATGAAAAACGTATTTGTTTCTCTAATAACGGTGGTATTAATCATAATATAGCCTTGATATTTACTGTATGCGTAAAGCAATCTTTCAATTATGTACGTCATGAAAAAAAGGAAGAAAGTAAAAGTGGTCTAGCATGCGTTTTGGGATGAAACCCTTCAAACAGATAATTACAGTATACCATTTTAAAAAGTTCTGATTCACAGAATTCCTGAAACATTAAAAAGAAAACAGCTAAAATAGATTATGGTGAGTTTGTAATATTTTAATCCACAATATATAATATTAAATGTACAAAACAAACATTTTGTAAAGGGATTCCAAGCTTCTAAGCGGCAGGCTATGCTTCCTCCAGAGTTTTGCTTAATACACTACGAGACACTTAACTGAAATTAACACGAAGGCCAAGTCAGTACTATCTCACTCTCTGTTTTGGTTTCCGTGAGCTGTTTAACACTAGCATAACTAAGACAAGTCCCCATCAAGAAAGAAACCTCTGAATGTCTGTGCACTTCGTTTAGCATCCAATTAACCTTCTCGGTATCAGGGTTCAAAGGGCACCTTCAGCATCGTGTACCTTCTTATAGACTAACTCCAAAACATGGGACAGGTGGTGCTGAGTGATTTGACACGGAATGACTCAACATTTTAGTATTAAAGGAACAAAAATATACACAACTCTTCTCAAAACATTCTTTTATTTCACACGACACGTTAAAAAGCATTTTTAAAACTTTTTTTTTTTATCCAAACTACGTCACACTTGATGTCAAAGCCCTCTTTCTTTGTTTTTCAAGGAGTTATTCAAATATTATTCCCTTTATATTCCTCAACTACACATTTACAGTCGGAAACATCTCTTTGGAAAGCAGGAAGTAGACAGACAAAACAGGAAAAGGGTTCAGCGCCATTTTGTGGGTTGGATTTTTTTTGCCTTGTTTTTATATTAAGATAAACATTCAGAGACTACGCAGATGTGGTCCATAGAACTGAAATAGAATGAATAGACCATATGCAACAGCCTATCCAATATTCTATTGACTCATAAAAGCCTATTCAATATTCCTCGTCTATTTCCCATCTCAGGAACGCACATCATGATTTATTTTTAAATCTGGCTCATCTGGAAAACTGCTTTAATGGTAAACTGCGCAACCAAACAGCTGAGAGCACAGGTAGTCCTCCCACTCAATATAAACAAACACGCACACACGCACACAGAAATGAACACAGATTTACTGTGTGGTCCCATCTAGGGCTGCACAATATATCACTGATTAACTGTTAGCGCAATGTTGGCCTTTGTAATACAGATGTTAGAGCAGGCTGCAATAACTAAATGAGTCATTTTATTGGATGCTGTGTCCTGAACAATTGCAGATCTTCCAGATAACAGCTCGTGTTTTGACCAATCAAGGCATTCACGTGATCCAACAAACATAAATAATTTAAATCAAAATAATGCAGGCCAGTTAACTGTATCGCATCAAGGGCTCACTGATGCGTTTGTAATATTTTGTGTGGTATATCACAATTGCAATATGTATTGATATAATTTCAATTTGGGATTCTGTCCATATTGTGCAGCCCTAGTCTCTACACTGCAAAAGCAAGCAGTTAAAGCCCAACAGTTCATCCACTTAAAAGTTTGCATCACATTTAAAAACAGACATGCACGAATGGTCATTGTCATTCTTTCCTGAGCAGCAAAAAAGATAGTCCAAGTTTTTATGAATATATTCATTTTGGGATCGCAGGAACATAGAACCTCCTCACAGACAACAAGCTGAGATTGTGCAAACATCTCAATTTGTTAACCTGGTAAGGCTTGATGGACTTTTAACTTGTTACAAATAAATGGCTCTGTGCCAAGGTCAAGTGTCTAACTTGCAAAATTCTTTGAATAGAAAGAAGGATTTCGGGCTAGACACAGCTATCTTAAAAGTATGAAGACAATTCGGGGGCTCAAAAGAAGTACAATCACACGCTGAACTCAGTAGTATCAAAGTTGTCTACACACTTTCAATCCACTCCTCTGTTTCCATGTATCTTTTTATCTCCCATTTTATACCCTCCCTCCCCAAACTCCCTTTAGTAAAGCCCATCCTTTCACCATGTATAGCAGTAGTACCTAAAGATGTCCTCTCTAAGGTGGAATGGGTTCTATGCCAGGCCCATCTCCTCCAATACACTCCGTGGAGATTCATCCTCCTGAAGTGGGCAAAAAGAAAGGCCTTAGAACATAATTATGACTGTATATATGGATACATCTTCAATGGTCTTCAATGTAAGGCCCAATGTCCCACATACTATTCTTTTTTGAGATCCACTTACGATGTTTGTGTGAGTTTATGTAACAAAAACTGTCAGAATTCATTTTTACATTTTCCAATTTATTTCATAGCTTATCTTCCCTTTTTCCCTTAGAATTAAACAGGCTGTTTTTGTTACTGTGCACGCAAGACATGCAAGATATGTAACAGACCTCTGTTCTAATTGGCTGCCCTGTATTGCACCTCATTCAAAAAACAAAACTGGGCTGAAATACTTAGTATAACCATCCCACATGAGCAGGCTAAATTCCTGTGGGACTAATAGAGAGTGTCAATATGTTGGGTTTTGTGAGATCGCAAAAACATTTCCTTCAAAATGGGCTGTTTTTGCAGCTTAGTTTACATGTATGGGCTGTATAGGTGGCGGAGTGAATGATAGGTTTTTAAGCTTTAATAATGGTTACATACAACATCAAACACATTTACTGAACAAAAACAATTCTGCTTTCCATGCTATGAGACATTCAAACAAAGCACTTAGGATTCTGAATAAAGACGTGATCATTTTTGAGAACTGAGGCAAAACAACACAATTTTCACAAAAGCGCCCACCTCTTGCAGCAGATCAGCCTGTTCAATAGCCTTGAGTACGCCCTTTTTGGAAGTGTCCTGGATTTCTCCCCCCATCAGAAATTCGTCCAAGATAAAGTAAGCCTTCTCAAAATTAAAAATGATGTCAAGCTCACACACCTAGAAAGATCAGACACAAATGGGGCAGACAAAAGAAACATTAGAGATCTAAATGCAGTCTCTTATTGCCTGAGTCAAGGGCAAATACGGAGCAAATGTTGTTTTAAAAAGGAACACAAACAAGATGAAAAAAATCTGAGATGTTATTTCACAGGCTGTATGACAAGAATGTCAGAAAAAATGTAATCTGAAAGAGGTGAAAGGTATGAATTATCTCCTGTAATCAAACTGACATCATTTAATATAGCACACATTTCTTACACCTAGTTTTTCTGTCTCTGTGAGGACTGTGGAATGCTTGTGTGGCCTTTCTTCTCTTAATGGACATCATGGCACTTAAAGGCCAGATGAAGACTTGCTAACACAAATCTCCAAAGTGTCCAACTGGACATGGCAACACAGCCTCTGGTAACAGAACCTTCATCACTGGAACTGGGTGAAAGGTTACTTTACGGAGATCATTTAAGAACCTAATGCTTCGAGCCTGACTGTGAGTGACTGTTGCCAATGGACCAACATGGGCATCATCTTTGTTGACTGGACTTATACAATGACATGGTGTTTAGTTATGTTCGTGAACAAATCCAAGGCTCTATTAAAATACGTTTACCATGTAACCATGAGTCTGTCTAATTTACATATAATCTGCAAAGAGGTATAGAGGTAACTGTTTTGTCTGGGTGGGAAGAGACCTGAGGGTGCTCATCTTTCTCTAATACCTCTCTGAGTTTTAGTCTACTGATTTCTTTCGGTTCTATTTTTCGTTGTTTCATCTTAGTTAAGCCTTTACATGTGATGTCATGAGTATTTTTTGCAAACATGTTGACATGAGATTATTTTTCTCTATTTTTATTGTTTCTAGACTTTCATCTAGACTTTTTCTCCATTTTCTTAATTTTTCCTACTCATGTCCTGTAATTCTGAAAAGCACTTTGGTGTATATCACATCTCAGAAGTTGTAAATAACCAGATTTTTCTTCCATGTTTTAATCTTAGTCTTGCTGAGGTAAATTTCTCAACAGAGATCATAAAGTATCTGTGGCATCTACTCATAGTGTGGGGGAAAAAAAATAAAGAATGAACGTGTAGAACAGTGCAGAAGAAATGGTGGAAAGAGCACGAGAGCGAGAAATGTCAAGAACATCAGTATGAAGGACCGAGAGTAAGTGGAGGTGAGAAAAATGAATACAGTATCAATAAATAAATAAATGGTAGAGCAGCAGGTAGACAAGAAGAGGGAAAGAGCAAGAGAGTGAGTGAGCAAGCAAGTGCAAGAAAGAGCGAGAGAGGGGGAAAACAGACGAAAGAGGTAAAATTGAGGAATGACTCACACTGCCGAAGTACTTATCCAGCAGCTCCACAAAGCGATGGATGACCTCTAGGGTAATCAGCTCATTGTCTTGCTCTTCAACTGCGCAGCAGAAATACAGACTGGCATACCTGCGCTCACACACGCACACATACATGTGAGAACAAACACAACAGACAACCAATATGTTAGTGCGCAGTAAGTGCACAATTATGAAGCTATCACACTCCTTACTGCACAAACACACTCTTGCACACACTGTACATGTATAAATATAGAAGCACATGCAGTGATGCTGAGGTGTTATGTAAGTGAATAGCAACCACAGAGAACAGTCATAAAGGTAGGTGCAAAGACACTGAATCAACATGTTCAATCTGGCTGACCCTAAAACTGCCCATAATCTCTCTGCATTAGTCTAAGCATTAGTCTGTAATACATAATAAAACCTACAGGTTTGCATTACTTTAGAAGTCCATGTTAGAAACATCTGTTATTATGTTCAATTTAATTGAGCACAATTAGTTTGAACCACCGTACATTAAGCCGTATGACTGTCTATGTACAATGGGAAGCCTTTTCTGTGAGAGCCCCCTGGTGGTCAGAACATAAATATACACAAATGAACAAACCCTACACTATTACTATCAACCAGAACATGATGCATCCTCTAAACAGTGAAAAAAGGCCAGAGCTAAAATATGAGTAGGAGAGAAGGTGCTTAAACATTCTAAAACTGATTTCAGAGCAGTATTTAATATTGATTATTAGGGATGCACAAACAGAACCAACCAAGATTGGAACAGGTTTATTCATGTTCCAAACAAGCGATCAGCATCTGGCCAATTGATTATTCTAATTATTTTTATCTGCGTTGCAATCTTATGATGTAAATAAGATGAGCCAGTTAAGTGCACTTGAGCTGTATCTGAATGCTGCTGCTACACCTAAACTAAAATGTTGTAGCGTAATTATACAATTCATATACAACTTCACAAAAAACAGTGTAAGCATCAGGTTTAAAAGAAAAAAAGCTAAAGAAAATCTGCCAAAATAAAAATATTTAGCTGGGAAAAAAAACTAATTAAAATTGGTAATAATGAGTCGAGATCGGTGCACTCCTTTTAATTATTCCGTAGTAGTAGCTCATCAAAACAAGCAAATTCTGTCTAACAAATTCTGTCTAAACTTCATCAATACCACATCTGTGATTTTATGAAATAGATTATATATTTTATCGTAATTTGACAAATCCTTTTCTAGAAAAAAAAACCTTTACATTTTACATTACTTGATACAAGCAGAAAAGCAGACTCAAACCTGTTGATACTGAATGCAAATTACATGCAACTGTAATTCAATGTATAACTTATGTAATTAAATATGTAATTACATTTGAATATAATAGCAAAACAAAAGTAATTTCGACATCTAAGGGCTAAAGAGTACTTCAAGTCAGGAATTTTGTGAGTGTGCATACACTGTGGCACTGAGGCACAGAATAAGTCATCAGTGACAACAATCTGATGCGACAACTTCTGACACCAAAGGTCAATTCCTGTCACAGAGCTTTGCAGCAGTTTACACAGTGCAAACAGTTACACACTGAAAGATTACTGAAAGAGAGCATTAGAGTGAGTGCCCAGGAGGGTACGCTTGCACCTACCTGCTTACGCACAAACTACATTTTACCAGATTCCACAACCCGCAAATAGTTAACCTCACAGAAAAGGTTGCCTGGAATTAGTGTAGATTGTATGTGTTAATATGAGAAGATAAACCACTGCAACCAGTTCATCCTTATTAATAAATTAATTGTTTGTGTGCATGACAGCAAGTTTATGACAGGGTACATGCTTATGAAGCAACTATTCAAATGTTTCCAATTAACTCCTTGAAAGAAATTTTAACACAGAAATGAATGGGCAGTAGGCAATAATTAGTGTCAGTTATCAATGGGACGTCAGCTACTGATAGCCTTCTATCTTTTGCATTGAGTACAGACAGACAACAGTATTTCTTGCCAAAAGCTTGGTAGGTGCCAGAAACAATATATCCCGGTGGTATGGGGTTGGGGGCTTTTTCAAAATATGGATATACAAACTCATCACAGCATTCATTTATTTATTTGGTTATTTGGATAAGACATAAAATAATGTTTAACCTCCTGTGTTTTTCATTTTAAGATGTGAAGCACCTCTTGAACTTGGACTTGGGTAAAATGAATCTTTAGGCTGTGCAAGTGGTCATGGAAATGATCATGGAAAAAGAGCAATGCTTTATGTCAGTGACACTATGCCATTGTTTATTCATAAAAAGTATAAAATGTTTGAAGTGCACTTCAAATTTAAGTGGTGGGTATAAAGACACCCCAGCTTTAGTTGCATTGGTTTGATTTAAGCACACGATGTATCCATTTAAACATGCTGTATATGATGTTGTAAGAAAAAGGAATGACTGCAAATGAGCTGCACTGTTTTGCATGAACCAATGTGTTATGGGCTACTACATGTTTCACCTCACCTCTTATACACTATCTTTAAATCCCTCCACTCCAGGAAGCTGCACATTTTTGGTTTTCTGGCCAGCACCACTTGCATAAGCTCTCGCACCATCTTCTTCTTGTCACGCTCCGCTGTGGCTGTGTACCATTTCTGTAGCCGCAGCTTCCCCTGCCGGCTAAACAGCAGCATAAAACGCATCTACACACAGACACACAGAGATAAGCGAGAAAACACAGAGAAAACAGAGAGATTGTTCATTGACATCTTTCAAAAGGTTGTGCAAAACTGCTCCCTGAACAGACCCCATTACAAATTTTAAAGCCACATGAAGCATCTGTTATATCAAAGATGATCTTCAAACATTTTTGTTATATTAACTGGATTAATTAGACGATATCTGCAAATGTCTAACAGCCAAATTATGCCAATCTGAATTCCCTTTCAGTGTTATTTAGCCAGTAATTCCCTTAATGTGTCAGAGTTGTACCATAGATATTTATGTAGTGTAAACTCTAGGGATGCACAATGATATCAGCATCTTATCGGTATCAACAGATACTTTCTATAAAGAAAACATTGACATCAGACATGTTCAAGCTTTAAACTTATTTCAAACTGAACTGATAGTTGATGTATTTATTGTGCCTTGGAAGACACTGGACTACTGCACTACACTAGTAATACATAATCTGCATTTTAAATATTTACTGCATTTGTAGCCTTTAAAAAATACACTTTAGATTTCTCTCTAAAGCTAATTCAGGTGAACCGAGCCCCAACTGCAATGTTCTATAAGCCATTAGGTATCTGCGGATATCGGCATCAGCCAACAATTCCCATATTTGTGCATTCTTTTCAAATAGGCTACATTAGGAATCCAAGGCATCAAATAAATTGGGCCTTTAAAGGAAACCCACATATAAAAAGGTCAGCTTTGGCTGACACAAATGGCACAAACCTTTTGTCTCCTCCATATCACAACTTCATTATCATTTATTATGTATCATTTAAAATTAGTGCATGAGCTTGGCCTATACATTTCATGTCTGTTAAATATTTAAGAATAGAGCTGAAGAGCACTGCATTGCTCCCTGTGGCCTTGGCCTACATACACCATTCTTCATTAATGCTCACTCCATCCCTTAGCCTGATAAAGCTGGTATGTTAGCCTGCACAGGATTAGTGAACACATCTGCTGCACACATTAAAGGAGCAATGACTGGAAACTATTAAGAAGAACACTATCACAGATACTAATACTATACAGAACAAACAGAACATTTCGATCTTGCCCCAAACCTGACAGCAGGCAGTAAAATTAATTTTACCAAAGTGTGTTTCATAACAAATATTTTAGAGTGTATGCTGAGATAAGTAAGTAGGACAGTACCGTAAACATCTAAATTTACAAAAAGTGAATTTTTAATTCATTTTAATCAATATTTGTCCATTGTTGCAGATCATCAACATGAAGATTTTTTTTTTAAACTAAGAAGTTAACCTGGGGTTCAATACATCTAAATCCAAATTATGTTTATTTAATATCTACTCGAAGATTATTAAGATTATTAAACACCTCCAATGTTCAGTCTTAAAAGTTGCAAGTACTGTTTATCTGATGGTGACAGTTCTGGTGGTCTACCAGGTCTTGCACGGTTGTTAGGAGTCCCATTTTCTCTACATTTTTTAATCGTTTGAACTCCAGTTTTGGAAACTCCTGTTTTTTCTCTTTTGGTTTTCCCTTTCTTTATGCAAGTGGATTATCTTATCGCTAACCTCCTCAGAAATATCTTCTTTAGCCATTTTAGATGCACATGAGAAATGCATTTGTAAGGCAGCGAAGGTGTGTTAAGTCAGATGATTGCTTGAATATTCATGCCTGTTTGAGGGGGAATATAGTGTCAGTGACTCCTTTGGAGGCAGCTTTTGTTGGGAGGACACAGCTGTAACTGTTGGATTTAAGATTGGAAGGATGGAAGAGTTAAAGTGGCAGTAAAATGCACAAAAGTAATGAGTAAATTACAGTAATACAGTTAGTGTTTAAGGCTTTTGTGCTCCTGCTTTTTCCTGAAAAACAAACTAACTAGCACCTAAAGGCTGCTTTGACTGGAAATTCAATAAATTAAAGGCTGGTCTCTGACTTTTGCACAGTATTGTAAATCTAGACAATAACAGCTGCGTACTGCTCCTGGATTTCAAATCTGAAATTTACTACTAAATATCACTCAGTGCTAATGAAATGAAACATTACACATGTACTTGTGGCAGGAGCACAATAAAATACTAAAATACTATGTCACATTATAACACTGGACACTACGGCTTGAATCCTAATAATTTGTTTCCAGGAATACTTTACAGTGCATTATAGTCTGTTGCACATTTCGCTAAAAAGATAACAAAATATCAAATTACCATCAGTGGAAGAAACAATGTCACACCAAAATCTAAATGTATTATTAAAACAAATTATATACACCAATATAACTAGAATGCCCAGAATGGTTTAAGATTAACCAATGCTCCTTGAACATAAGAGTATAAGGTATCTAAAATAGTCCTTTGGTGACACATGGGTCAATGACTTACAAGCAATGGCCTTCAAGTCATAAGTCATTCACTGTTCTGCTGCCATTAAACCTTATGAGTACTGGAAATAGACTGATTTCTGTCACTAAAAACTAAACATGCATATCTACTCATTTACGTAAATTAACATACTGTACATTGGCACCAAGTATAGCCATTATCATACTGATACCACTATCCTAAGTTGAATCTAATCTAATATTACCATGCTTTCACAGCCTAGTGTGATGAGGCGTGCAAGAGAAAGATTAATTGAGGCCATGGACAAAAATAGCACCCTCCTAAGAGGGAAAGGCTACCTTCTGCTCATCTATGTCAGATCAGACCAAAAAAAATTGTACTCGCTCTTATTTTAGATTTATATTTAGCAGCCTTTATTAAGCAGTATATCAGCTATAAAAAGACACACACACACAGACAAATCACAACTAGGAAAGCCTAGTAAAATTGATATATGGTGTATAATTGGGTTGAGAATTGAACGTGATCTCTGAACACTCTTTCCTAACAGAAGTTAGTCTTAAAACAACATGCAAAAGCCAAAACATCAGCTACTGGGCAGCTACTGTTAATACATCAAACACAAAATCTACAGTACAAACATTGCCAGACCACAGCTAATCTAGTCATTTTACTTACAGAGGTGAATGTTCTCTGCTGTTTTTGTATGTCTATTTTCACAAAAAAAAGAAGAAAACAGAACTTATATTGTGGCAAAGGACAATATTCTACAATATTTCAGTACATCACAGCATACACTGTTATTGTCACAACAATGATGCTGTTTTAGGAGCCTGAATAATATTTTTCATAATGTAAATATAGATTTGTAAAGTAAATGACGTTAAAACATCATGACACAAAGAAAGTGCCTCACAACGTCTGAAAGATTTTAAGTCCTTCATGGGTATAGAAATTACTTTAACAGACACAGCTTCACTCTTATCTTTTTAAACAATACTTCCTTGCCGGTGAAATTTGTGAAATACAGGAAGTCCACATATAAACTTGCTCTGCCCTGTAAACCGCTAACGCTCTAAAGCAGGGGTTCTAAATTGTTGGATCACAGTCTAGATGCAAACAAACAAGATGTTACCCTTTCTTCTCCATTTATTTGGATCCCTTTCTGGCACATCTAATGAGAGAATTATCAAAATTATTTGGTGGCCTACATTCCCATAAATGTGTCCCAGAACACCTGGAACACCTTTACCTCCTCGCAAGTTCCAAAGTTTCTTAGTTTTATAATGGCAAAATCTATTTACTCATCCTTAACTGCTCAAAGGGAAATCACAAAGTGCTGATTCTGATGCAGAAAATGGGTAGCAAGCCAAACAGAGACCTTGATACTAAAATGTTTTGTCTATCACACAGCTCAGCCACCAACCAGCTGTGAAACAGCAATATGCAATCATACATAAAATCAATTCATTTTACTTCTACAAATAATACTATTGATCATTTAATTTGGGTATCTAGCATTACTCAGTAACAAACAGCGCTGCTCACGTCATGTGTGGGCTTACATTTCATTATCAGCCGTGCGTGTAGTTACCCTTATTTCAAATGGCCTGTGAAAATCTTGAAAAGTCACAGGTGTTCACAAGTGACAAAATGTAGTTAGGTACAATGTACACTCCCATGCAAAAAATAATTTAAAAAAAATAAAAAAGGACCAAGGTCAAAATATAATGGCTTTACTGATGGTGTTGGGCTGGTCAGAGCCTAGATTTAAACCCTATAGAAAATATTTGGTCTCACATTAAACACAAACTAGCTCTGCAACGTTTTTCAACTGTTTGAACTCATCAATAATGAATGGAAAAATACTGACTCTTCTTTCTGTAAAAGGAAAGTTTACCCTGAAGATTTCAATGTTTACAGAAATCACTGGGGAAAGCTCTCCTATATTAAGTTACTTTAACTATTTGCTTAATGATTTGTTGTTCAAACTATTAAAAGTTTAATGTTTGGCCATTTTTTTGCAGAGGAGTGTACTCATAAAAAAGATCTAAAGTTTATCGCTTATAGTAATCTAACTTATAACCTTTTTGTTACAGTTAAGCAGTGATGGTACTCTCAGCAATCTCAAGAAGTTAAACACTAGGTTGTGTGCCACACACCGCTCGGAAAAACAGCACTAGTCTATACTCCTTCTGAGGTCCTGTAGCAACCTGCAGTAACAGTAACACACTTATAAAACAGTCATAAAAACACACTTATAAAAAAAGCTTTAAAAGAGTTGCTGACTAAAGAAAGAAAGTAAAAAACTTCTTGCATGTAACGTTCAGTGCAGGCACGTCCCTCTCTGCTCTTTTTCAGGGCTACACAGGTAAAAGGTGAGACAATCATTTCCGGTATCCTGCTCATGAATAACTAAAGACCAATTTTAAAGTCTTTTACTTTTAAAGTATTTATTTTTATGTCGTGTTAATAGTTTAAAGCTGCAATGGAAAATGACTGAAACTGGCTATCTAAAAGTTAGGTAACCGGACGGCTTCATTAGCTGGCTTGCTAAAACCCTTGGTTGACACATAACGTTACAACATCGACACATTCGACACACATCAAACAAACTGGCCTCTCGCCTGTATCTAGCAGTAAGACTCAACATTTAACCAGATAAATAATTTACACAACTAGAAAGCTGGGTAACCTCAGACTGTCAACCACAGATACCGCAGATATGTTTATAGGTTTTGCCAGGGTTTAAGTGTCCCTCAGAATCTAAACTAGCTAACGAGCTAGCTGGCTTGCTTGCTTTAGCTCATCCGCTAATGTTAGCACGTAAAGTCTATACTGGCTACGGCTCTCGAGTTTAAACTTACCATTTTGTCGGCTGGGCCGGAGCGTCCTATTGATCACAATGTATTACAGAACCCTTTTTCATCCGAAACGCAAAGCACTAATGACTCATGTCTGTTTCAGACTCCGTAGTTCGGTGGGTTTGATGGACCCACTGACGGGGGGCAGACTGGAGAGGAATCAGGTAGTTTAGCGTCATCGCCCACAGCGAACATGCGCATTGCGCATAACAGGCTCGAGGTGTCAAACAGCCACAAAGACTCTTTTCAAGCAGAGAATTCCAGCCATGGCTCGGTAACTTGGAAACGAATACCGCTGTTTATGTGTTTGTGAATGGTTTATCTCCCACTCAGTGCCCAGGATACAGTTTATTTCTTTTGTTTTATGTTAATCGTCGTCTTTGTGATAACCGGTGGTAACAGTGGCTTCTACGAGGTGTTCGAATTTCGTTGCCATGACAAACCCGAAGGCGGATTCCGGTTTCCATGGTAATGGTAGTTTTACGTCATATGTGTAAGACAGAAGAAGGACCTCGCAAGTATAAAAAGTGAAAATGCGATTACTGTAGTTATGATGAATGTAGTAAAATTTGTAAAATGTTTATGACAAGCACATTTTGATATTTAAAACTGTGCAATACAAAACTGTTAGTGAAGTGGTGAATTCTAGAGAAACCTCCAGCTCTGATTTTCTTAATGGTGGTGATAGGAACCAGGAGTCATGATGTCTGTAACGCATATTTTACTATTTAACCAGTAAACCTGCAGGTGTTTGAGTTTTATATGTAATGTTGACAATGGTAAAATTATTTATTATTTAATATTGGTAAAGTTATTTAATATTGTGGCATCTGCCATGCTACAGTGAGGAGCTTAGGGGATGTAGTCAGACAAAGTGGCTCTTAGTGGTGGGTGGGGAGGTTGTAGGGAGAACATCATATGTCCAAGGAGGGTAGGCTTTGAAGTGTGACTTCCTGTTGAAGTACCTGTTTTCTGCATCTTCTCCTGTGCTGACACTACATTAGTGTCAGAAGTGGGATATGGCTGTCAAGCCGGAAGAAGTCGAGCGGTGCATCAGGCAGCGAAGAGGACATAGCCTGGAGGAAGGGGATACAGAGCGCTACACCTGCCCCTTCCCTGACAGGTAAAGCTGAGAGTGAGGCGGCTGGCTGGGGAAGACAGCAAAGGAAACAGCAAGGCTCGGCAGCGAAGCCTAGCTGGCGCACATCTGCTCACCGCACTTAAGCGGCAAGGACGCCTAAGAGCCGTACTCCGCACAGCTGCTAGTGGTTGTCCAGCATCACGGCTGGATGCTGCTGCGGAGAGGGCAGAACTCATCCTTGACATGAAAACACCACAGCGAGCAACACAGTACCATGTGGCAAAGGAGCTTGAGGATGAGACGACATGCTGAGCGGTCCCCCAGGTGACTGGTGTGCTTTCAGTGCAGGAAGAGGGGACACCACACCAGGCAATGTCACAAACCTAAGCTGGTGGGGAAATGGAAGCTGGTTGCGGTGTCTAGTGGTGGGGCCGAGGAGGAGAGTCAGGGCTCCCTGGCAGTGTGGCCACTGGCTTGGGGAAAGCTGAACACACAGCATCAGAGCCAGTTATTAGATGTCCAGGAGCAGGGCACGCTGTCAGGTTGAGGGCACCACAGCTTTTCATGTGTGAAGCTGCCAATGCTGGAGGAGCTGAGCATGCAGCACAGCGCCCTGAGGGACATGGGCAGTGCACACAAGCAGCACTCTCACCAGCATCAGTGCACGGTGGCTGAAAAGAGGGCCGCTGCTGCTGTTGGTGCCCCCAGTAGCACCAGACTTGACGCTGTGAGCTGTAAGGAGTTGCGCCACACCCACGAGGAGAACGCAGCTTTCAGTCTCTCCACACTGACACACCGATGGAGAGGACACTCATGGAGCTGGTGTTCGGCTGCCCAGTAGAGGCTCTGTTGCGTCCGCCATGGGACGTGCTGCCGTGAGGAGCTTAGGGGGTGTGGCCATGCAAAGTGGCTCTAGGAAGGCCCTACGCTTCCAGTTAAAAAGGGTTAAAAAGGGACGATTATTTTTGCCGTTGTTGCAGAGGTTCTTGTTAGAGTAATTGTTTTTGTTAGAGTAATTGTGTTTGAGGAGGGTGGGCTTTGATGTCTAATTAGTGGTTAGAGGTGTCTACCCTCCTTGCATGTTTGATCGTGCATTACCTTCTCCCTGTATTTTGGTTTGGGATAGTGCTGGGCAGGGCATTTCTTGCTGCCTGTTAAAATGCCCATTCAAAAGAAAAGAGAGTTTGCCTGTATGTGCAATGTTTTTCATGTCTTTCTTCTATGCTGATGCTACAACATGAAAAATGCTTGTTTTCTTTGAGTACTATTTTGCCTTACAGCGTCCACTAGATTAAAAAAATTAGGCCCAGACCTTGTTGCAGAACAGTTTAAAACAATGTTATGTTAGTTATATTGCATGATACCTGTGTGCCTCAGGCATCATGCAATGTATCTGTAACTATTTTGTGTAATAGCTTTCTGTGAGGTATTAAAACACTGCAGTGGTTCCTCTGAATGACTTTGTTTACATCTTAAAGATACAGTAATTGCAGAAGTTTTGAAAATGTGTAAAATTCCCCTTAAATCAGGGGTGTCCAACCTTCCACAAAGGGCCGGTTTGGTGATATGAATCTATGGACACCAGGTGTCGCCAGTTACAAATAAACCTACTACCTACAAGAGCACTGGTGACAAGGGCTTTTTATTCATAAAGTTGTTTATTATATACATATAATGTGCAAATGCATAAACTTCATGTAAACAATATATATATAAATATAAAAAAATATAAAATACAGCTTCTGACAAAGAAAAAACACTGAATGTAATATGCAATATAAACATCAAAATTTCAAAACATTCTCCATCAAAATTCATACATCTTGTTCTTGCAGGAAAGAAAATATTCAGTTGTTTTTATATGGTTCAAAAATTATTTTCATTTAAGCTTCAAGTTCATTTAGAATGGACTGCAGGGATTATGGCTTTTTAAAAGCATTTTAAATCTGCATGCATTAAAATGTATACTTAATCCCAAATTACAGTGACATTTGCAGGCTTTTGACCTACAGTGGTGTTTTCCTTCATCTTTATCAGTCTTTTAAAATTGTTTATGACATCTTCCAGCACACACACTGCTTTTTACATTCCTTATTGATGTATGATTTCCAGTAATCAATACATTTCAGAGACATGTGACATAAGATATAGAGACTCTCCACCTGAACAGACGGCTTAAATGAAGGCAAGCTTCTGCATATTGATATGTTTGCTTTGAGGTTTAGATTCCAAAGTACACTTTCTGGTGCTGTCTTCTTTATCTTGTCCCCAAACCTGCGTAGATTCAGTAGTAAATTGTCTGACAGTGGACACTATCAGTGCGTTGATAAAGTTCTTAGTCTTTGTGCTTCTTGTCTGAATTCAAACAAAGAACTGGTTTGTTAGTGACTCTGGGGCTGGTTGATTTGACCCATGAATAGCACGGAGCCTGTGGAGTTAAACAGAGAAATCAGTATAGCTGCAAAGACATTAATTACAAACAGTGCCTGCTCAAAAAACTTGCTGACTACAAAACTGACCTGTTGGCTTGTGTTGGATGAGGAAGAGGAATGGACGGTCCAGAATGTGCTCCTCTATGGCCATACGAGAGTAGATGATAGCAGCTGTAGAAACACAAATGTGTCATTCATTATCAGTTCATACATTTAAAAAAGCAATTAAGTGGTTCACTCATTTTATTTTTTTATACCCTTAAAAATACATTACATCCTAAGACGTATTATTCAGTAATTACATGGAAAACTGTGCAAACTGACTGAGAGAATCTTCAGTTATAGGAGTGAGAAATGGAAGCCCAGAACTGCTGGGTTTTAAGTGGCATTTTCAGTTAGGAGATGTCATTACCTGTGGCAGAGGAGCCTTGGGTTCCCTCTTCATTCACTTCGATCTTTACTCTTTGTAGAACATCAGATACACACAATGGTTCTTCAGCTAAGAGGGAAAAAGTGATAAACAATACATTAGATATTTTTATAGTCACACTCTTTAACAAGTTAGGTATATTCCTAAAAACATAGGTGCTTAAAAGGATTCTTTGGAGTGAGACCATAGAAGAACTGCTTTTGCTTGCGTAAGGAACCTTTCTCTGGTTCTTTAAAAAGTCAATTAAAACCACTCAATTACAAAATTTTTAAACTTTTCACAGTAGCTATAAAATGCAATTTTTGCCTGTTTTGCTTGCTAGAAGAAGGTTACAGAACCAAAAGTAGTTCTTCTATAGTCTTCTATCGTGTCACTCAGTGTCAAAGAATTTATTAGGCACCTTTCTTTTTGGAAATCGTAAAATGCACTATACTTACTAGTGATGCGGGAGAAATCAGCTTTGGCCTGGTTAAAGATGTCTCCAAGACCCAGTGTGCTCAGTGTGGACTTCAGATCTACCTCTGTATCAATGGAAAACCTGGACATAACATTGATACAATTACCTGCATTAGACTCACATAATCTGAAGCTCTGATAGATTTAAGAGCTCTGTAATGGCATCTGTCTATTTTACCTGGGAAGCACCAGTTGACGGTTAACCATCTTTAGCTGCTTTGTCCACTCCTGGACTTTGCTGCTGCTAAGCTCCTTGATCAGATTGGACACTGGCACGTCTCTGTCAAACGACGATACCAGGAGCATGCTCAGTGAGTCCCCTTCATACGGCACCTCAATGACGTCGTAATCAACACCTTCCTCAGTAACAAACTCACCTGGACAGAAGAAATATTTGTTCATCAGTTTAGAATTTCACTTATTCACTTCCCTATTCCTCTGCATTTCATTAAATCATCCATTCATTGTTACAAAGGCACAACCGATGTGAAATTTTCCAATAACCAATCATTTTGGCCAGTTCAGTTGTTGTACAAAATAGCATCACATTCCTCAATGAACAATCGAGTATTTAAAGAGATATTGACAGTGCTTTATCAGTGAAATATCTGTCAATGCTGATAATTTCATGGAAACTTAATATTGGCCAATTTGATCAGTCCATCAACATATTGGTCTGTGCCTATATCATTACAACTCCCATCTGGCATACTCACCATAGTTGAATTTCTGGGTTGTTCTCATCATTGGCACTGGCACTACAGTGCCATT